TAAAATCAATGTGAAAAAAAAAATATCACGTGCGTAGCACGTGCAACTTCCTAGTAAATGTACAAAGGTGTACATAACACTCACAAGAAAAATGCTACAAGTACATAATAAATGTACATAGAGGTGTACATAACACTCACAAGGAGTGGAGTCCACTTGATTTTTTATTTTTGGTAGGACCCACTTAATGTGAGTGATATGTACACCTCTATGTGCACTATTATGTACCTATAACATTACTCTTATTGTAATCCTCCCCATTTTTTTTTAAAGCCGTATTAGTGATTCCATTTTCAAGTTATGTACATAGGTAACACTTGTTCTCTGGAGTCCCAGGTTTATGCAGATCTGGAGGTAGCATTTGTGATATCAGAGGACGAGGCAATGTTCAAAGCATTATGCAAGACAGTGGAACTTTTACAAGGGAGTACTTCTATAATCAGTCAGTACTATTACGGGTGTCTTTTCAATGAGCTTCTAGCTTTTCAGCTTTCTGATCGACATCCACCAGCACAGGTAAGTCTGTGTCCTATTTCACTGAGAGTGAGTGCTCATATATATTTGCTAAGCGTTTTACTATTGGGTGATCAGGATAGGCAGATCATGTATGCAAGAATACTATCAAAGAAACCCACATTATTTTAATATATTCACGAGACACGGTTTTTATGTGAAAATGTGAATCAAAAGCAATTCAACTCCCTAAATTCGCTCGAATCACTTGATTTCCACAGGCCTTTCCAACACAAGTAAACTACTTATTTTCTAGACCAAGGATGAGTGTTGATCAAACATCTTGCATTCTAGTTCTACATCAATCTAAATTTGCTATGTAATACAAATGTTCCTGGATAATCTAATGACATGCAAGCTATTTTCTTATCCCCAGAGAAATACTACACGAGCTTCTAAGACCAACGGCTTTTCCACTTCTACCATGTCCATGCTCGATCATGCTGAGCTGGCAGTAAATGAACCCGATGAATCTGCCCTGGTGCATATGGATGTCGATCAGATCTTCTTGCCCATAACAACACCTGTTAAGGCCTCCATCTTTGAGAGTTTTGCTAGGCAGAACATAACAGAATCTGAAACTGACATCACAGATGGCATCAAACAATTAATCAGCAGCAGTTATGGCATTCCGTCCTCCACCAAAACTGAACTTGTATGTGCTGACCGCCCAATTTCACTTTTCAGCAAGTTGGTACTATGCTGTATCCAGGAAGGTGGCACCCTCTGCTTCCCAAACGGTACCAACGGAAGTTACGTATCTGCCGCAAAGTTTTTAAAGGCAAAATCTGCAAATATTCAGACCAACGCAGAAGAAGGATATAAACTGACAGAAAAAACACTCACGACTGCACTCAAGGGTGTTCAAAAACCATGGGTCTACATTTCAGGCCCGACGATCAACCCCACAGGCTTAGTTTATAGCAACGAAGAGATTAACAAATTATTATCCATATGTGCAAAGTTCGGGGCAAGAGTAATTCTGGATACTTCTTTTTCGGGTGTAGAATTCAACTCAAAGGGGTTTGGGGGATGGAAACTGGGAGCTACACTGGAGAAACTTTCCTCTGATAGCTCAGCCTTTTGCATCTCACTTCTTGGGGGACTTTTCTTTAAGCTACTGACAGGTGGGATTAGTTTTGGGTTTCTGCTCATCGACCAGCCTTCGCTGGTGGAGACATTCCATAGCTTTGCAGGTTTGAGCAAGCCTCATGTGACGACTAAGTACATGGTCAAGAAATTGCTGGATCTGAGGGAGGAGAAAAGAGAGGAACTCCTTAAAGCCATTTCGGAGCAGACTGATATTCTGGGGAGCAGATATAAGCAATTGAAGCAGGTAAAAATACATTTGCTTTTGAGAATATCGATTTTAGATGGCCAAATAAATATACATATAAAAAAAAGTACCCTAATGTTCAGTGTAAGCAAAGATTATATTTCAATGTTGCAACTGCCTCTTGACATTTGTCATCATTTTTTACAAACTGCATCACCTCAAAAATGATATTTGTGTATTGGTAAGATATCCCGTTATGGGAACAAATGAACAGAAAAAATCAATTGCTGCAAGGAAGAGTGATAATTTTTCATTAGACCTGTAATATGGTGTTTTCGAGAATAACTCGGGCTTTCCATAATTATAAGTTAAAACTTCAGGAGTATTTTTTGTAATTAAGTGAGAAATTGAGGGTTTCATTGTTAACTTAAACCAGAGGTATTTTACTCTGTGATCGTGTGTATGTACCAGACACTGGAAACTAGTGGATGGGAGGTGCTGGAGGCTCAAGCAGGCATATCGATCTTAGCTAAACCGTCTGCCTATCTTGGAAAGACCATCAAGATCAAGAAAGGTACAACCACCCAGGAAATTAAGCTCGATGACAAGAATATAAGGGAAGCCATGCTTAGGAGCACCGGCTTGTGCATCAACAGTGCCTCTTGGACTGAAATCCCTGGCTACTGCCGCCTCACCATTGCCCTGGAGGAAGGCGATTTTAGACGCGCACTAGATTGCATTTCTAAATTCAGAATCTTAGTCAGTTAAATAGGAAAAACAGGGAAAGTTGCAATTTTTTGCTCTACCCACGACTTCCATTAAGGGTGGTCATGTTGTGAGAGCTGCTCTTGTTTTACTGCAAACTGGATTTCTCTTTATTGTCGTCCGTCCATTAAAAAAAAAAAAATGTTGCTTGGTTATGAAATTTACAGCACTGCCCTTTTGCCGAAAAGCATAAACTGTTACTGGTCTCAAATGTTCTTAACTCTGAAATAACATCACATGGAAAATCATTTTATTACAATATGAATTACATTTAAACTCCAAAAACAGTAGGAAAAAAGGGGGTTTTGCACTCAAAGGTGAGCTGCCAACTTACTTCTCAGTTCTCACTAGCCTTTGTTACCTTACTGAGAGTAGTCTGATTTAGTCCCTCATACCCACTCCACTTCACCCCTCCTTATGGTTTCTCTTCTGGGCCTTGATCCAATCACCCAGGCATAATTGGGCTTCTAACGAATCGGGACACATGGCTGATTGTCTCTCGCTTAATATGTTATCCCCCGCAAAAAATACTTGCTCCAGTGCAACTGTCGAGGCTGGGGAAGCGAGAACCTCTTTTGCCATCCGTGATATAACCGGGAAGTTGTATTCGCTCTCTGACCACCATTGCAGCATATTCATATTCTCAATAGGCACCCCAGTTTTTAGATAATTCTCTAGCTCGTGTTCTAGGTATGCTTGCCTTTGTCTCCTGCTCTCTTCCATAATTTCCTTCATAAAACGACATTTCAGTGGTTTAAATGTGTCAGAACTGCTATATCTAGCATACTTTGTTTTGGGCTCAGCAAAATTTTCACCACCATACTTTGACTTGTACTCTAGGTAGAAATCATTCAGGTGTTGTCTAACATTGCTCTCAATAATACCAGGGTCAGGTGAATGCTCGTCTTTGACAGGGATTAAATTATCATAATACATTGTCAGGCGATGTTTGAGATTGCCGAGTCTTATCCGAGGGTCCAAAACATTGGCGACTAAATTAATCACCGGGAGGTTTAGACCATGTTTTCCTAATCTGCTCCTCATTGCCTCGACACAATGTTTTAGATCCTCGTCCTTGTAATACTTGTTTAAATTCCATGAAATGTATCCAACGAAAGTTAGCAGTGAACTGGGATTCGAATAGTGATCATTCGAAATTAACTGTATGCCCTCATAAAACTTCTCCAAAAGAACACAAACTTTTTCACACACCGCCCATTGGTTTGGAAATAAGAGTGTTCCTTTGACATTTAACGCGAAAAATCTACGCAACAGCTCTTTGTGCTTGAGAAATTGTTGCAGCAACAAATAAGTTGAATCCCAACGAGTTGGGATCTCGCGTGAAAATTTTTCGGACTTCGTATTGTTGGTCTTGCAGAATTTAGACCACTGGTTCATGACCTGTGGGTTCGACCACAAGTAGCCGATCGCTTGCCTAATAGGCCCGAGTTGAAGTTCTACTTGCTGTAATCCGTCTCGTGCACATAAACTCAAAACGCGACACACGTCTACAAAAGGAAAAGCTCTACAGCCAACCAACGACTCGAAAGTAGGCTTCAGATCCTCAATGCTCGCAACATTCGAGCCGACACATTCAAACAGTATCGAGAAGATCTTACCGAGTAAATCGTACTCTGCCAAGACTGATAATACGGTTCGACAGATGTTTTCAGCCGTGTGAGCTCCCTGCAACAATCTGAACCCTAGCAATCTTCTCTGGATGGACCAAGAATCATCTATCCAGTGACAAGTAACAGATATATACGAATGGACTTGCCAATAATCACGCCAAATTTCGACAGATATAGAAACTTGTGTTTTCACGCAGGCTAATTGCTCGATCAGAGCCTTTTTGCTTTCGCGGTATGAACTTTTCACCGTGCGCGTGAGTGTAGCAGTCGGAACACGTTCGGCGGCGGGATTTAGCGACCGGCAAAGATGCTCAAACGGTGGCCCACTGCCTAAATCGAGAGGGAGATTCTCAACCGCAACAAATTCAGCAAGATTCTGCGCAAAATTTTCATGTAAGACAACAGCGTCACTCCCAGATTCTGACGGGTGTTCTGTGCCCGATGTCGAGCTTGAACCAGCCATTGATACTCCAGATAGAGAGAATTTGGAAATCTTCTGCAGCTTGAGAAAAAGAGAAAAAATTCTAAGTAAAATTAGGGTTAGGCTAACGGTAATTTCTCTTCTAACGGCTAAATTTGACATGGCCAAGGTTCAAAATCAGACTGTCGAACCACCCGGCTCGGACCATTGACGGCCGGTCGGACCCTGTCCGGCCCATTTACCCCGTGGTCAAGAACAAGGTCCGTAAAATAATTAGGCCAATTTTTACACGTGTTATATAATATTTTAGATGTTAGTAGTATTTTATATAGATATTTTTATGATGGTTTTCAAAAGTTTATTTTTCGTAAGACATTTTGAACAAATTAATACTAGTATGTAACTCGTGCGATGCACGAGCTGCATTTGTCTGGTAACATTTGTAAATTGAAGGCTATTGATCAATAGGTTATAATAGTAGATCATTTGTCAAGTAATCATAAAATGTTCGTGATGAAAATTTCATGCATTATCAAAAACCTCTTTATTTTTTCATGGAAAATCGTATTGCTTGGCGACGGTAGACTGATATTTACTAAGATTGCTCCACTTGGTAATAGCGAATTACATAGACACTTCATTCCTTTGATTTTTTGCTGTATTTCAAAATGTTAGCACAACAAAATAGAACTATAGTGAAAATATGTAATATTGTGATAAATACTTAAGATATGATTTATCGAGTGAAATTTAATTTTATATGAGATATAAAAAAAAGTTTACTCTGAAGTGTGGAATTTGAGTATATATAAAAAGTTTATATATATATATATATATATTCCAACCATTCTCATTTTTTTATACCAAATCCATTCCAACATTTAGAACATTTTGTTTTTGTAATGTTATAATAGAGCTTTGGAATTTCGATTGTATTTTTTGTAAAACAATATTGACAAGAGTAATTACGGTAAAAACATCAACGACATTTTATCATTTGTAGCTCAGAGCTAATTAAATGAGTTGGAGGACATGTAAATCATATTTTTTTAAGAAAAAAGATTTCATAAGTAAATTGGTTTTTGTATATCAAAATTTAATTTTGCAGGGATCTTGTGTATATCTCTTTTGAATAAGGAAATTTTTTGCTTGGATTCATAATGAACACTTTCCACGTGATAAATAGTGATGTGAAAATCGTTTGTACAGGTAAAAGATAAGTTTGAATGCTAATCATGTAATCTAAAAAATTAGATGCTATTTATGAAAAAAAGATTGTTACATTTTGCATAGTAAGGGTCGAACTGTTATAGTTATTTCTTTCACACTTTTATAGCTTATTTTTAATAAAAAAAAATTATAAAAATAAAATTGAGAAGATAACATGTCCATTTTCATTTTAGTTTCATTTTTTTTTAGTAAAAAAAATAGAAAATATATACACTGTCCATAATTAGAATAAAATTTCATTTTTTTAATCAATATTTTAAAAAATCTGCTAGAAAGAAAAAAAATACACCCAACAAAATTGTTACCATAAAAGAATAAATTATAATATTATTAAAATAAATTTATTTAAATAAATATGACAAACAACAACTGAGGTTATGACAATGCATTTAATGCTCTTTTCATTTTTATTTGAAAACACTTAAAAAGAATAAAACTTACCTTTTTTAGTATGTAATTTAATGATTTTGGCGGAAAACTCTTTCTAAAAATGATTGCACCTTATTCTTAGTTTATATAGATAGATATTATACTACATACTGATTTCATATTTTTAATTTATAAATATTATTTATCAGTGCATAAGAGTATCAAATTCTTTGTACACTTTTATACAAATTGATTCATTTTCTTATTTATTTAACTATCATTAATTTATGGTATATAATAATTTCATATTGTGTCGTCAGTCCAAATAAAATTAAACCAATCAATGATGTTGAATCCAACACATAAATAATACGAATTTAGACTTTTCAAAATATGTTTGCCATTTTTCATCTTATATCCAAATTACAAACTTTAATGCGAATCTTAAATATCTCATATTTATTAAATATATATTTTTTTAAAAAGTATGATAATTCATATGATTAATTTTATTATATATCATGTGTTAGACGTTATTAATTTGGTCATAAGTTTTCATATTTTTGTATTTGTTTTCTGATTGAACCTCCCTCAGGGCTTCTAGCTTTTTGGTGAGAATGACAATGTTGTTCTGATTTTGAGTGTGATAAGAAGAACTCCATTTCAGTAAAGCCAGTCTAGTAATCTGAACTTTCTCTTTAAACTTAAAGAAAGGAGTTCCCTGAACCCTATAAGACCATGCCTTCTCTACCACTTCAGCTAAACCATCCATCTTCAGCCATCTTTTGTCAAAGGAGAATCTTTTTTTCCTTCTGTGGGTATCAGACCTTGAATCCAGAAGAAGAAGAGAGTGATCTGAAGCACTCTTAACCAGATTAAGGACTATGGCATTAGGGAAATCTTGCAGCCATTCAATAGATCCAAAGACTCTATCAAGTTTTTTTCTCCACATTTCTTTCATCTTGCCTATTGTTGCACCATGTGAATTGATACCCTACCATGACCACCTCTTCCATCTCCATGTTGTTGATAAAGTTATTGAACCCTGCATAGGTAGAATTGGTTTTTGTCAGGCCACCAATTTTCTCCTCATTAGAACACAGAGCATTCCAATCTCCAGCCATAAACCAGAGATTCCCCCAGCTAGCTTTAAGAGATTCTAAACTTCCCACTGTGCTGCCCTTTGTTGAATTCTACAGGTGCCGAGATAGACAAACACTCCCCATTGTTTGTGAGAAGAGGGGAGTTGGAATTCCACGGCTATAAAAAAGCTCTGGCTAACAACTTGGAGAATGGTAACAGAGAAATCCCACATAAGAAGAAGGCCCCCACTAAGCCCACTAGGATCCACAAAAATAGCTCTGCTCTCAAATCCCAATTTCTTACTGACAAACTTAACAAAAGACCTAGATTTTTTGGTTTCTGAAATAAAAACAAAAGATGGGTGGTGAGACTTTAATGTCTCTCTGATTTGAGATATTGTAGAGGGCCCACCCAGCCCTCTATAATTCCACACCGCAGCTAACATTTAGACTTTGGGTGCCACTCTAGGCTGGCATCCCCCACCTCCTTGTCAAGAATAGCTTTATGTTTCTTACCCTTAGTATTGGTCAGATGAGAATCCTCCCCCTCAGAGTGTTCCATCTCCTGATTAATTCTGCTTCTCTTTGCACCTGGAACTTTGAACTGAACAATAGCATTGTCTTTCATTCTTTGAAGCCTACCTTCCTTGGTAGAGTCTCTCCTCCAAGTTGAAACTTTTGGCTTAACCAAGTTTCTAGATACAACTGCTTTCCCCTGAATAGGTAGAGCCACTGCCACTTCTAGTTCTATCATGTTAGACATTTCCTGGATATGCTGATCTGTGGTGATTAGATCCAGTGATGGCATAGTAATAATAGCTTCAGGTTCAGGACTGTTGTTGATAACTGGAGAAATAGAAGCTTGAATCCCTGATGTTGAAGTTCCTACTTCTAACTGGAATTCCTCAATTTGGAGTCCTTGAGCTTGTTGATTTTGAGAGGTTTCAGGTTGCTGATATGAGGCACTTGTGTTTTGAGGCAGTTCTGCCTCTATATGATTCCTCTCTGGAGAAGGTGATTGTTTAGAGCCTGAATAGCTTGTGCCAGACCAGACATTGTGCTCCTCAACTTTGATCCACTCCCCATATTGACCATCCTTGAGGGTGTGCTGTTTGATATCTGATAGCCTCTTTCCACAATTCCTGTCCATATGCCCTATAACTCTGCAATAGTAGCACAGGTTTACAAGCTTTTCATATTTAAAACCGACCTTGACCACCTGGTCTCCCAATCTAATATTAGTACATCTCAGAATAGGTTCATCAATATTGACTGTGACCAGAAGTCTGAGGATTTTGCCTCCATGGTTTCCAGCATTCATCATCACCACATTGTGAACTTGGGGAAATACTTTGCCTATTTTGAGCCCCACCTCTGTACTTAACCAATCCAAGGGGAGATTGATTACCTGGGCCCAGATATTGAGCTATTGAAAAACAGGATGCTTAGGAGTAAGTCCCGGAACCCAGTCCTTGAGGATTAAATACCGGTTTTCGAAGATCCACGTACCTCTAGCCACCTTCCTCATATCCTAAATACTCAGAAACAAGAATTGAAAAAAATTGTGCCCCAACTCTTTAACCTCCATCAGCCTTTGTAATTTCCATATATTGCTCATAGTGCGTTTAATACCTATCCAGCTCGCCTTACGATCGCCCACAACCCTTCCGAATAAACTCCGTTTGCATTTATCGGCTCTCAGACGAATGTAGGTATGAGCAATATCTACCACTGAGCTTTCACGATCCGAAAACGAGAAACTTTGAAAAAGATTTGCCAAGTCCTCATCACGCCCCACATACTGATGCTCTGCCATGAATCTCAAAGAACAGAATGAAAACGAGAATGAAAGAAAACCCTAATCGGAAACCGATCTCACAGGAGATAATCGGTCGCCGGAGCGCTCTCACAGGAGAGAATTATCAACACCCTTTAAAAATTGATAAATTTTGTATTTCTTATCGGTTTTACATATATAATATATCAAATTAATTATCTTTTCATGATCTTCGATTTGATATC